TCTGCCCTGCGGTCGTCTTCGCGCGGGGAGTGCGCTCGGGGTCGCCCTCTTGGGGGGCAGCGGGCTCCTCCTGCTCCCCTGCCTCGTTGCCGTGGAAGACAACTGCGATTCGCTTCGACTTTCTGATGCGATGCTGATGGTTCTAGCCCTCCCTCGAAGAAGAAGAGGAAGGAAGACGAGTAAAAAATAAGAAGAATAACCATAATATACATATATATATATATATAAAAAAAAAAAAAAAAAAAAAAAACACTGCATCGGAGCTCCGCGCGGATTTCTCGGGGCATGATGTTTCGGAGCTCCGCGCGGTTTTCCTGGCTGGGCGTTGGCCCCCCCCTTTGGCGGCGCCCCTTGCGCCGCTGCGCGCGCCAGGGAGGGGTGCCCAGCGCCTGTCCAAGAAATCCGCGCGGATCTCCGACAAGTTGTGTTTGCGCCGTTTATTGTTCGTCTTCCGCTGGCTGGTCTTGGCCTCCCGGCGGCCGGGGTGGGCGCCGGCCCGAGCGTATTTACTCTATGTGTGCGCCGGCCCCGCAAGGTCGACGCGCACGTGCAGAGCTCCTGGAGTGTTGGCTCCGTGGCCAGCGCTTGCCGGCCGTGCCGGTCAGGGGGAAGCGACGTACTGTAAGTTGCTCGTGCTACATGTTTGGTTCTGACGTGCGCCTCACAGGGCGGCTCGTACAGTGGAAGCCCATGCCAAGAAGCGCCCTGCTTGACTCCAGGGTGCCCTGGGTTTCTCGGGTTTCGATGGTTTTGCTATGGAAAGCGGGGCGTTCCCTCACCAAAGATCCATGGACGTCCTGGGGTCTCAGGGCTGGGTGTCCTGTGGACAATTTCTTCTGGTCGAGCTCCTACTGTGATATATCCTTCTGCGTCCCACGGGGGCGAACGTTCGAGATTCGAGGACCGCGGCTCGAACAGTCTTCGTCGTCTTGGGCTCTGCGGGTCCGCCTCCTCGGGCGGCCCAGGAACCGATCTGGGCTGCAAGCGTGTCTCGGATGGACCCCGAGAGGGTGAGAGGACCTGGCTTTGAACGGATTTAGTTTGGAGGTCGAGGAGAGTGTTTTGAGGACTGGGGTATTCGACAGACTTGGCGGGGGCCTCGAAATTCTGGCCAGGACGCGCCCCAGGGCCCCACCGCAACTGGCGTTTTCGAAATCTTGGCCGGGGCGAGCTCGTTGATGTATCCCGGAGCCGGCTCTGATGTGGTGGAGGAGGAGGAGGAGGAGGAGGAGGAGGAGGAGGAGAACGACGAGGAGTAGCAGAAGGAGCAGGAGAGGAGGAGGAGTGGGGTGGGAGGGACGATAGAGGAAGTGGAGGAGGATGAGGGAGTGGAGGAGGAGGCGGAGGAGGTAGGAGGGATGGAGGGAGTAGTGGAGGGAGGTAGAAGAGGAGGAGGTAGGAGGAGAAGGAGGAGGAGGAGGAAGGAGGAGGAGGAGAGGAGGAGGAAGGAGGAGGAGGAGGAGGAGGAGGAGGAGGAGGTAGGAGGAGGTACTTAGGTAGGAGGGACGAGGAGGAGGGAGGGAGGCAGTGGGAAGCCTCCTCTGGCGTCTGTCGCGGTCCGCACGCTCGCCCCGCAGGAGAGGCCTTGCCCCGAGGTGAACCTCTCCAGGGCAGCCTGGTGCCAGTCGCTGCCCCGCTCTCCCTCTCCGTTACCCTCCTCCCGCTCCTCCTCTTACCCCCTCCTACCTCCTCCTTCTACCTCCTCCTCTCCTCCTCCTCCACCTCCTCCTCCTCCCCTCCTCCTCCTCCTCCTCCTCCTCCTCCTCCTCCTCCCCCTCCTCCTCCTCCTCCCTCCACCTCCTCCTCCTCCCCTCATCCCCCTTTTCCTCCTCGTCCTCCTCCTCCTCCTTCTCCTCCATCTCCTTCTCCTTATAGGGAACTCCTCCATGTCGAACCCCGAGGCCAGTCTTTACGGCGGGCCGGGCCTTTCGCCTGGGACTTCCCCACCATGTATGCTTCCGTTACCCTCCTCCCGCTCCTCCTCCCTCTTCTTCGTCTACCTTTTCCTCCTCCTCCTCCTCCTCCTCCTCCTCCTCCTCCTCCTCCCCCTCCCCCTCCTCCTCCTCCTCCTCCCCTCCCCCCTCCCCTCCTCCTCCTCCTCCTCCTCCTCCTCCTCCTCCTCCTCCTCCTCCTACTACTACTACTACTACTACTACTCCTCCCTCTCTTCCTGCTCTCCCTCCTCCTCCTCCTTCTCCTCTTCCTCCTCCTTCTCCCCCTCCCCCCCTTTTCCTCCTCGTTCTCTTTCTTCTTCTCCTCAATTTTTCCTTATAGAGAACTCCTCCATGTCGAACCACGAGGCCAGTCTTTGGGGCGGGCCAGGCCTTTTGCCTGAGACTTCCCCGCCATTTATGATTCTGAAGCTTAAAATCTGACAACAGCTTCACATAGTGATGGCGGGTCGTTTTCAAAATGTGACTCTCGCCTTGGCGCCGCACACATTCGCTTATACAAATTGCAAGAGTTTCGCGGATTGAGGGCGGGTCTTTTTCAAAATGTGGCTCTCGCCTTAGCGCCGCGCAGATTCGTTTTCAGCATGTGCAAGAGTTTCACGGATTGAGGGCGGATGGTTTTCAAAATGTGGTTCTCGCCTTGGCGCGGTGCTTATTCTGTTCAAATAAAACTCAAGAGTTTCACATATTGAGGGCGGGTTATTTTCAAAATGAGGCTCTCGCCTCAGCGCCGCGCACATTTGTTCAAACACATTGCAAGAGTTTCACGGATTGAGGGCGGTTCCTTTTTAAACTGTGGCTCTCGCGTCAGTGGCGCGCACATTCGTGTATAAAGTTCGCACGAGTTTCATGGATTTTCATGGTCAGCGTATAAGAAATGATGTGTTGGAAGGATTTAGGATTATCCGCGCGCAATAGTTATGTTGATTCGCTGTGTTCAAGTCCCCAAAGTGGCGTGTTGGCAATATTCTGGATCGTCAAGACGCAGCAGTCAGGTTTGATACGTGGCGTTGAAATCCCGAGAACAATGTTTCGGCAAGCTTCAGGATCTTACAACTGTTGTCTTCAACGAGGCGGTTCCCTCAATGGAAATGAACCGTTGTAGGGGCCTATGCAGAGGGAGCTTGGAGGCAGGGTTAATTCCAACATCGTTGATGACCCTTGGGTTTCCACTCGTCCTCCTCCTCCTCCTCCTCCTCCTCATATGAATACTACTATCCTTCTTTCCTCGACTCCGTCCGAAAGACACAAGGCCATCTCGGCGTGGGTTTTTCTACACAGGGATTCCATGCTTGAATTTCGCCCACAAAAAAAGTTGTTTGCGGTTCTTCAGACGGGTGCTCCCGCCGCAGCGCGGGCCTCATGATCGGATCGGCTTTTTGCCCTCGTCGGTCAGAGTGGCGCTCTCGCTCTAGTGCGGGCAATTTTCCTGGATCCGAGTCTGCCCCCTCCTCCACACTCCCCTGGTCCTGCTTCTCCCGCTCCTGCCTCTCCAGTTTCTGTGGCTGCTGGTCTCCTCGTGATCTGTTGTTCCTCTCGCTCATGCTCCTGCTCACCCGGCACCTCCCCCTCCTCCTGTTTTGGTTCTGCGACCCGCAACGAGAAGTCCAGAGGGCGTGTCAATCAGGCAAATTGGGGCACAGAGCCAGATAATTCGTGCACATGCAGATCAAATTGGGGAAAACGAGCAGAAGACGAGGAGGAGGGAGACCCTCCTCCTGTGCACGCAGCTCCACGTTTTCGGACTGCGCATAGCGTCACACGATGTTGTCGTCGGGCTGGAGTCGCAGGTCGGCCATGACACGCGTCCGCGGGCAGAGGATAATCAGCGCCATTGGGAAAGGGATGGGAGGGGAGGGAGAGGATGGGAGGGAGGGAGAGGATGGGAAAGGGATGGGAGGGAGGGAGAGGGATGGGAGGGAAGGGAGGGAGGGAGAGGGATGGGAGGGAAGGAAGGGAGGGAGGATGGGAAAGGGATGGGAGGGAGGGAGAGGGATGGGAGAGGATAATCAGCGCAGTTGGGAAAGGGATGGGAGGGGGGGAGAGGATGTCGGATGACGCGCGAGCGCACCCAGCCTGCCTCCCTGCCTCTGTCCCTCCCTCACTCCCTCTCCCTCTTCTCTCCCTCACTTGCAGGTGGCTCCCATATCCATATCTCTCGGGCTTTTCCTTTTTGTTTGTTTCCTTTCTCTTTCTCTCTCTCTCTCTACACTGTTTTCTCTTTCTACGCATGCATATGTACGTGCGACACACATAATCATATACATCGATATACACGCATACGCATACACACGTATTTACACATGTAGTTATCTGAGTATTCTGGAGAGGGGGGCGGGGGGGCGACCGCGGTTGCGGGTTGGCATGGGGGCCATTGGCGGCCCGTGGGGGCACAGAGAGCTCCCGGACAGTTGAACACGCCCCCCCAAACTGGCCCAAGACCGTCCAACATTGCGTCTGGGGCGCTCCGGTGCCACTCGAGACGCCCCCAGACGGCCTGCAGACGCGCCAAGAGGCCCCCAAGAAGCCCTCAAGAGGCCTCCAAGGAGCCCCCCAGGGGCCCCAGGAGGCAGGACTCAGTTCATTCCTTGCGTGCAGCAGTTTTTTCTGCAGATTCGCTTTTCCAGTGAGGCTCCAAGACCGCTTACGAGGCCCCAAACTCGGCCCCAGAGGGTCCCAAGATGGTCAAAGTGGGCCCCAAGAGGGCTAAGAGGGTGCCCAAACGGATCGTGGGGCATTATCTTGGGACCCGAAGACGTCGGAAGAAGGCTCCTAGATGCGCCTCGAGAAGGCCCCGGGAGGCCCAAAGACGGCCGAAGAGGCATCCAAGAGGGCCCCAGGACAGCCCAGGAGAGCCCCAAGACGTTCCAAGAGGCGCCCACGACGGCCCAAGAGGGCCCCAAGAAGAGTCCAAGAGGGGGAAATCCAGCTGACGTTTGGAGCCGAGTGGGCCCCCGAGGCCGCAGCAGCCAACCGAGAGGCCCCGAGGACCCCCAAGCAGGGTCCAAGAGGCCCCACACGCGGCCTCCATGAGAGCCCAAGAGGGCCCCCTCGAGGCTTCCAAGTCAGCTCCTACGGGCCTCCAGACGTCACCATGAAAACCCACTCACGCCCAGAGCCCCTGTATGCAAGGGCTCCCTCGAGGGCGCGAAGTTATTCGCGCTTCGCGGTCCTCGTTCCTTCTCCCCCCTCCTCCTCGTCCTCCTATTCTCCCTTTGGGAGGGCGGCGCGAGAGCGCGAAGTTATTCGCGCTTCGCGCTTCGCGCAGCGCGAAGCGCGAAGTTGGGAGCCCTTGTGTATGACGGCCCACAACAGTTCCATGACAAACGAAAAGGACTTCGACCATGATGGCGATGCCGATGACGATGATGATCATTCTGTGTGCGTGGTGGTGATGATGATGATGATGATGATGATGATGATGATGCTGATGCTGATGCTGATGCTGATGCTGATGCTGATGCTGATGATACTGATTATGATACTGATGATGATGCTGGTGATGTTGATGATGATGGTGGTGATGGTGATGGTGATGATGATGATGATGATGATGATGACTGTAATGATGATGCTGATGATGATGATGATGATGATGATTGTGGTGGTGATGGTGGTAATGATGGTGATAATGATATTACTGATACTGCTGGTGATGATGCTGATGATGGTGGACATGCCCGCCAGCCCAACTTTCACATGCTCCGGAGACGTCTCTTCGGAACACGTGAATTTACGATGGCATGACGATGGCGATTACGATGACGATAGCGAGTTCAATGATATCATGATGACGACGATCATGAGTCTGATGAACATCACGATGACTAGAATATGATGATGAAAATCTTGGTGATGCTGATCATGCCCATGATGTCCACGCCATTTGTTCGAAGCACGCACCATCACGATGCTGATATCGATGGCGATGGTGATGACGATATCGATGATGACGGTTATATTCGAAAGAGCGTGTTCTACCGCTGCTGGCGGAAAACCGGGGGGTGTCACTGCCGGTTCGAACCCCTCCCCCCCCCCTCCGGAAAACCGGGGGGGTCACTACCGGTTCGAACCCCTCCCCCCCCCCAGTTCATCATGAAAAGGGGGGGGGTCACTACCGGTTCGAACCCCCCCCCCCCCTCGAACTCGAAAACCGGGGGGGGTCACTACCGGTTCGAACCCCCCCCCTCGAAAACCGAGGGGGGGTGCGGACAGTGGTGGGGACGGTGGTGGTGGGGACAGTGGTGAGGGGACAGCGGGACAGTGGTGGGGACAGTGGTGGGGACAGTGGTGGGGACAATGGTGAGGACAATGGTGGGAACAGTGGGGACAGTGGGACAGTGGTGGGGACGGGGGACAGTGGGAATGTGGTGGAAACAGTAGGACAGTGGAGGGTACAGTGGTGGTGGGGACAGTGGTGAAGGCGGTGGCGAGGACGGCGGTGGGACAATGGGACAGAGGTACAGTGGGGACAGTGGTGGGGACAGTGGGGACAGTGGTGGGAACAGTGGGACAGCTCAGTGGGACAGCGGAGGAGTCAGTGGGACAGTGGGGACAGTGGGGATAGTCGGGCAGTGGTTGGGGCCGTGGAGAAAGTTGGGAGAGTGGAACCGTGGTGGGAACAGTGGTGGGGACAGTGGGGACAGTGCGACAGTGGTGGTGGCACTGGTGGGGACAGTAGGGGCGGTGGTGGAACCAGTGGGGACAGTGGTGGTGAGGACAGTGGTGCTGGGAACAACAGTGGGGGATGTGGTGAGGACGGTGGTAGGGACCGGGAGTCGTTTGCTGGCGGTGAGAGGGGGGGGGGGGGGGAGGGGTTCGAACCGGTAGTGACTCCTCTGGTTTTCGAGGGGGGGGGGGGGGAGTTAGGGGGGGTTAAGGGAAGGGGGGGGGGGGGGGGTTTAGGGTCCGGGGGAGGGGGGGGGGGGTCCCAGCAGGGGGGGGGGGATTTTCGGAGGGGGGGGGGGGAACCCCGGGTTCCGGAGGAAAAAGGCGGCAATTTTCCACAGCAAAGCGGCGGTGGATCACGCTCTCTCTTATATTCATGATGGTGGTGACGATGGTGATGGGCATGCTGATGCTGATGCTGCTGCTGATGATGATGATGATGATGCTGATGATGATGATGATGCTGCTGCTGCTGATGATGATGATGATGATGATGATGATGATGATGATGGAGATGTCTGCCAGTCTCCATTTCACGGGCTTCGAAAAGCCCATTCCGGAGCACGTAACCATGAGATAACGATGGCGATGACGACGATGATGAGGATGATGATTACGACGGTGATCATGAACGTGATGAACATGAATATTATTACAAGATGATGATGATGATGATGATGATGATGATGATGATGATGATGATGATGATGATGATGTTGATGATGATGATGATGATGATGATGATGATGATGATGATGATGATGATGTCCTCGGTGATGCTAATGATGTACAGGAGGACCCTGATAGTGACGATGAGGATGAAGATGCTGGTGACGCTTCTCGCCTGGATATGCTTCGAGATGCTGGATAGACTGCGCCCCATGAGAGGTAAGGTCCAGGGGTCCAGGGGACCAGGATCCAGCCGAGGATGAGGAGGAGAAGGAGGAGCAGGAGGAACAAAAACAGGGACGACGACGAGGACGTCCACTACGACGAGGACGAGCCCCAATGAGGTTCGCAACCATCATGTTCCGTGCGTCGCAAAATGTTGGGACCTCAACTAGAACCTAATCGCGCGCGAAGCGTGCGCGCGTGGTTCTAGTATATACATATGTGCATGCATGCATGCATGCATGCATGTATGTATGTATGTGTGTACGTACTTACGTACGTACGTACGTACGTAATGCATGCATGCATGCATGCATGTATGTATGTATGTATGTATGTATGTATGTATGCATGTATGCATGCATGTATGTATGTATGTAGGTAGGTAGGTATGTATGTATGTATGTATGTATGCATGCATGCATGCATGTATGTATGCATACATGCATGCATGCATGCATGCATGCATGCATGCATGTATGTATGCATGCATGTATGTATGTATGTATGTATGTATGTATGTAGGTAGGTCTCTTCTATCTCTTCGCCCCCTTCCCTCGATTCCTCCTCGCTTCCTCCTCTCACTTCCTGTTTTTCTCGTGTCGGCCTGGCTTCGAGCTGGGTTGGACGATTTGGGGGGAGGAACAGGGAGGGGGCGAGGAGAAGCACGAGGATGAAACGGATGGTTCGAGGAGGAGGAGGAGGAGGAGAAGACAACGACGAGGAGGAGGAGGAGGAGGAGGAGGAGGACGAGGACGAGGAGGAGGAGGAGGAGGAGGAGGAGGAGAAGACAACGACGATGAGCAGCAGGAGGGAGGAGAGGAGGAATGATGAGGGGGGAGGGCAGGAAATGACGAGCAGGATGGCTGGAAGAGGAGGAGGAGGAGGAGGAGACATTGAGGAGAAGGCTGGAGGAGGAACAGCCAGGAACGAATACGACTCGCTAGACCACTTCCGAGAAGTCCGCGCAGATCTCGTATTGCGAAGGCCTTACGGCCGGTGCCGCCGATCCTGACGACGACGAAGATGAACACGAGCGGGGGAGGGTTAGGAGGCGGAGGAGGCGGAGGAGTGGGGAGGGAAGAGGAAGGGCGGAGGAGGCGGATGAGGGAGGGGGAGGGGGGAAAGATGAGGAGGAGCAGGAGGAGGAGGAGGCAGAGGAGGAGGGGGAGCACGGGGAGGAGGAGGAGGAGGACCAGTGTAAACCCAAGAGTCATCAACGATGTTTGAGTACACCCTCCCTCTTAGCTCCCTCCTCATAGGCCCCTACAACGCTTCTTTTCCATTGAAGGAATTGCCTCGTTGGAAGATGCCCGTTTCAAGACCCTGAAGCATGCCAAAACATTGTTCTTGGGATTCCAATGCCCGGATCAACCTGACTGTTGCGTCTTGACGATCCTGAATCGTGCCAGAACGCAAACACAGAAAACCAACGTAACTGTTGCACCAGCATAATCCTGAATGCTTCCAGAACGCCATTTCTGGTACGTTGATGATGGGAACCCGCGAAACTTCTGAGAATGTGGCGGGAGCCACATTTTGAAAGGGAACCGCCCTCAACCTGTGAAATTCTTCCAACATCGTATTACGAATGTGCGCTGTGCCAAGGCGAGAGGCACATTTTCAAAACCACCCGCCCTCAACCCGTGAAGCTTTTGCATATGTTTAAAACGAATGTGCGCCGCGCTAGTGCGAGAGCCACATGTTGACAACCTCCCGCCCTCAATCCGTGAAGCTCTTGCAATTTCAGAAAACGGATCTGCGCGGCGCTAAGGCGAGAGCCACATTTTGAAAACGACCCGCCCTCAATATGTGAAGCTCTTGCAGTTTGAAATGAATGTACACCGCGCTAAGGCGAGAGCCACATTTTGAAAACCACCCGCCCTCAATATGTGAAGCTCTTGCAGTTTGAAATGAATGTACACCGCGCTAAGGCGAGAGCCACATTTTGAAAACCACCCGCCCTCAATCGGTGAAGCTCTTGCAAATGTTTAAAGCGAATGTGCGCCGCGCTAAGGCGAGAGCCACATTTTGAAAACGGCCGTCCTCCATCTGTGAAGCTGTTGCCACCTTTGAAGCTTCAGAGCCGCCATACATGGTGAGGAAGTCTCAGGCGAAACGCACGGCCCGCCCTAACAACTGTCCTCGGGGTGCGACAGGGAGAATTTTTTTGAAGGACAAGGAACGGAGGAGGAGGAGGAGGAGGAGGAGGAGGAGGATGGGTAGGAGGCGTTGTGGCATTCTGGGGTCTTTTGGAAACAGCTTTTCATGGTTTCGGGGGCGCTCGAGGGGGACACGTATCTGGGCGGCTTCCCCGCTGGGATTCTCCCCCTGACCCGCGCCCCTGGGACCTCCCTCCCCCGGGAGGGATTGAATGAAGCCTCGGTCCTCGACGGAAATGGGAGGGAGAGGGCGGGGGGACACCTTTTCGGAAATCAATGAATATAGCCTCTTCGGGCCTTCTTGAGAGCCCATTGGGGCTCTTTTGAGCCGTCTGGGGGCCCCCTTTGGCAGTCCTTAGGCGTTCTTGGGCTGTCTTGTGGGGCTTCGGCCGTCTAGGGGCGCTCTTGCGGATCCGTCGTGGCGACCCCCCCTCGTCCAGCGCATCTACAGAGGGCCCATTTGTGAAAGCCGCGAACGGGGGATAGTATTCTGACCCCGGACCCCTCCCCGTAACCCCCCCCGGGACCCCTCCCCCAGGACCCCCCTTGGGACCCTGCGGGGAAGGGATCAAAGGGAAGGGGGTTCCCTTCGACTCAATGACAACGTTGTTTATTATGCTTTGGCTGGGTTGCTTCATTTCGCTTTGGCTGGCGCGTTTGAGGACGAGGGCCCAGGGAAAGAGGGGGAGCGGCGACGGACCCAGGAAGACGACGAACAACCCATTCCACACGCCGACAGGGTCGGCGGATTTGTTAGGTGATCTGTCCTTGCTTGTTCCCCTAAGCCATGGCGACTAGGGGCCCCATCGATGGCCAACTACCGTTGTCTCAGCTCGTCTTCGTCTGAGGGTGGGGCTGGATGGAGGGGGCAATCTATGTTTCTGCCCCGCGGTTTTTGCCGTCGCGAGCGCACGTAGATGGCAAAACGCGTGCTCCGCATCACTGCCCAGCTCACGTCCAGCAGTGCCAGCTGCTGGGCTGCCTCATGATTGCGCCGAGGCCGGCATGTGTGAGTTTTCGCCGGATGGCAAGGCCGCAATATCTCGGACACGAGCGGTGTTGGAGGACGGGTGTGTGAGGGGAGGGTGACCCTCGCAATTCTGTCTGTAGCGTCGACTAGCGTCGATTAGCTTCTGGGAAGATTAGCGTGGATTTAGCTTCAATTGGCGTCGATTCGCAAGAGCCGACAAGACGGTATGGGAGGCCCCCCTGAGTTGCTACCAAAGTGGAGGGGTGGCGGTGGGCGGTGGGAGGACGAAGGAGGGCGAGGAGGAGGAGCCTGCGCCGCGCCACAGGTACAACGCTCGACTTGGGCCCAAGTGTTCGTACAAGTCGCACCAGGACTGGTCCCGCCAGCCTGCGGTTTGGAAGGTCGGCGTGTCTGTGGTGGGCCTCCCTTTCTCCGTGCCTTCCCTCCACTCATCTCCAAGAACAAGCGCCATCAACAGAAGCTTGCGGCACACCGAGCGGATTTCTTGGATCCACGCTGAGCCTCCCCTGGCGGCGCCTCTGGCGCCGCCCCCTGGCGCGCTCTGCGCGCCAGGGAGGGGGGTCCGGCGCAGATCTAAGAAATCCGCGCGGAGCGCCAACAGTTTTGGTCTATGCCGTTGTTTCTTCTTCTATCATCGTCCCGCTCTTTTTTCCCCGCCATCTTCGTCATCGTTCCCAGGCTCTTTGACTCCATGATTCCAGGCGTCCTCCGCACTCTGATGTAGTGCTGCGGTGCGGTCGTAGTCGTCTCGATCCTGTCGTAGGCTGCAGGAGCCCCATACTCTGTGCAGGTCGTCGTCGATGCTGCCGCAGCCGCAGCCGCAGTGGTTGTCTGTGTTGCCAAACGTCCGATGATTGCGGTCTGGCGTCCGCGTAGCTGCACACGTGATTGCTTGAAGCGTGCCAGCCTCGCGGTATCTTCCCTGTTTCTTCATCTTGTCCAGTTTCCTTATTGAGGTCGTATGTGTCGATGCCCAACTCAGCGCCTTTGCCAAGCTAGTGGGAAGATGCTCTGGTCCAGTGCTGGAGTATGTGCGATTGCATTATCGCATGGATAACGTCGGCGGGGTCACCTTGGCAATCGTCGTTAGTCATGCGCCATTTGTTACCGTTGCCGCCGGTCCACTCTGTAGGCGATGTAGCATTCCATCCAATCTCCCATAGAGTGAGTATGACGGTGCCAATGAGCCCACGCCTTTGCCTTCAACGGTAGATGGGCGGTACGTTGGCCAGGCCTTGGTAGATGATGGGCCATGCGTGGTGTGCCCCTTCGAGGAGGAGGGAGGGAGGAGGGAGGGTGGTGGAGGAGGAGGAGGATGGAGTCTGGAGTCTCGAGGATGGAGGATGGAGGAAGAGGAGGAGGTGGAGGAGGAGGAGGAGGAGGAAAAGGAGGAGGAGGAGGACGAATAAGTGGACGAGTACGAGGGCGAGGAGGAGGACCTCTCGCCCTCTTCGTCATCCTGCCGCCTTCTCCTTCCGGACCCTCGCCGTGGCGGCCGCGGCGCAGAGCTCGCCGGCGCTCGCGCGCGCGCGGAGGACTGCTGCCACGCCATCTCCCGCTCGCGCAAGGCGTACGCCCGCGCCGAGGCGCTCATCGACGGCAACTGGCGCCTTCCTCGTCGCTGCTCGTCGCCGCTCGTCGCTCGGCTCGCGTCGCCGTCGTCGCTGTCGTCGCTGATCGTCGTCGTCGTCGCCGCTGTCGCCCCCGATCGTCGTCGTCGTCGTCGGCATCTCCGCTCGCCGCTCGCCGCTCGTCGCTGTCGCCGCTCGCCGCCGCCGCCGTCGTCGTTGCCGTCGTCACCTCGTATAGGCGCCTCCGCTGTCCCGTGCCGTCCGTCGCCCGTCCTCGTCGTCGGGCGCCGTCGTTGTCGCCCTCCTCCTCCTCCTCCTCCTCCTCCTCCTCCTCCTCCTCCCCTCCTCCTCCTCCTCCTCCTCCTCCTCCTCCTCATCCATCTCCATCTCCATATCCTTCTCCTCCTCATCCTCCTCCCCCTCCTCCCCGGGGCGGCAGACGGGAAGGGAGGGGAAATGCGGCATGGCGAGCTGCGTATGGAGGGCAGGCGCATCCGACAGCTTCCGAGCGCCTCTGAGTCCTCGTTCTCCTCTCTCTCTCTTCCCATCCCCTCCTCCTGCCCTTCCTCGTCCCCTCCTCCCCTTCCTCCCCTCGGCCCCGTCTCAGAGGCCTCCGGGGAGGCACCAGGGCCTCGGAGAAGAAGCAGGGCGCCGCCCTCAGAAGAAAAAACGCCTCCTCGCCCTGCCCCTCGTGCGCGCCGCGCGGTGATGGGCCAGTCGCTCTCCCGCCGACTGTCAGGGACAGCTTGAGGGGGCGATGAGCCCAGGTGGGGACGCATCGATCTCCAACCGCTTATCTATGATCTGCAGATGCTGGACCCGTGGCCCTTCCCGTCCAGGAACGCTCGTTTTCGGCATCGGGGGCCTGTCGCCGACATGTCGGCGACGCCTCGCCGATTCGTCGGCCGATGTCTTCCCCGTGAGCTTGCCCCCTTCGCCGCTGCCGCTCGTCTGGGCCCCAGGGCCGCCCTGCGCAGGGCCGCAGCGCGGGGCTGCCTTCCGCTCCCGGCCCCGATCGAGCGGGGGCCGCGCGGTCGTTTCTCGCTCCGAGGCAGCGCCCTGGAGCTCGCTCCCTCGGGCCTCCGGGAGGCCTCTCGTCGCTGCGCGACGGGACTCCCAGGCCTCCCTTCCTGTGGTCTGACGCCTCGGCAGGCATCCGCCGACTCCTCGAGCGCAGCGCGCGGCCGCCCCTCGGACTCGGGGAGGGCGCGGCCGGCACCCGAAGAGCAGCCGGGGCCACGCCGTCGGTCGCGCTGCTCGTGCCCGTGAGCTCGTGAGCTCGGCCCGCCCGCGAGGAGGGGGAGGAGGAGGAGGGGGAGGAGGAGGAGGAGGAGGGCAGAAGCCAAGGTACCTGCGCTACTGCGCAGCTGGGCCGCTGGACGTGGAGCCGCTCGTCGCGCTGGCCGTGCGATGGTGGCGCGGCGGGGCGTTGCTGTCGGGGGCGTAACGCCAGGGGAGGACCAGCTCCGGGGGGGCGGGAGGCTCAGAGGTTCGAGGGTTTCGCACGTCTTCGTTGGTTCTCGTGTGCCTGGCAGCATGGGGATGCCGTCTAGCTTCGAAAGTTCCCCAGGAGGCCCCAAGAGTCCACCAAAGAGCTTGAAGAGGCCCCCAAAAGCCCCGAATACGTAGGCCCAAAAGTGGCCACAAGAGGCCCCCAAACAGTCTCCCAAGAGCCCCCTTCACGCCGTTTAGGCCCCCCCGGATTCCTGTGCACTACATGTTTAGGAGGCCCCACTTGAAACAACAATGAAATCCAGTGATTCTCTTTGTGCTCAAGTTCATCCCGAGCCCCATCAAGACTTCGGAGTCACGTTGCACAGATTTTTCGGGAATGCTGTTGAACTCTCTGACGCTGCCTTGGCACTCTCCTGGGTCGTCTTCGTTTCCTCTCGGCTGCCCCTGAAACCGTTGTAAACATCGAGATCCCATGAGTTCACCTGTCCAGCCTAATTAGCTAGAACGTCAGCGCGCTCGCCAAGAAAGAGACAAAAGGGGACCTCCCAAAGCATTACGAGCGCTTTGCTCCAAGGTGGCCCCAAGGTTCTCCCAGAGGTTCTCGAGGCGCATCCCAGATGCCTGCGGAGACTCCCGGGAGGCTCCCAGGAGGCACCAAGAGCCCCCCAAGTGGCCCCGAAAGACTCCCAAAACGCCGCTAGAAGGTCCTCAGAGACTTCTGACCGACGGCCCAGGCAGGGTCATCTGATGAAAAGGAATTCTAAGAATTCTTGTTTGTCAAACTAACCCCCTGCTTATTTTTGCACAACAGACCATAGTTAAGGCCCCCGTCACCACCGAAGAAAGATCCCAGGAAGCGTTCGAGGGCCCCACATCTTCGAACACCTACAGGAAATTGATGATGTTGTGGTTTCCGCATGTTCCATTTCTACGTTTCCGAGGCTTGCGCAGGGACTCCATGAAAGTCGCTACGCTAGATGCACAAGGCACTTCAACAATTGAGATTCCATGCGTTAGCCTGTCGGGCCTAGCTAGAACTTGAGCGCGCGCGAAGCACGCGATGTAGATGTACAGATGTACATCACATGTACATCTATACATAGATGTACAGATGTATAGATGCACATCGTATGTGCATCTATGTGTATATGCACATGTAAATATATGTCTATCTACATATATGTATATATATATCTATGTACAGGAGTAGGCCCGGGGGGGCGGGCGGGCCGCTGCCTGTACCCCCCATGGGCGCCCCCCGAAACAGCCCAGGCTCTCCCCGAAACAGGCCACGACAAGCTAAGGGGGTCCCAAGAGGGCCCAAAACGGTTCCAAGAGGTTCCGAAGACGCCCAAGATGCCCTCAGGACGGCCGACGAGGACTCCAACGCGCTGCAGGACGGACTCAAGGGGCTCCCCAAGAGGGCCCTGGGAGGCATCATTCACTTATTTTCCGAAGGTTGTTGAAACATTTTGGCGTTCTCGCTTTTCCCGCTTCCCAGCGCTCCCTCACGGCCTCGGAGGCCCTTCAGATCGCTCCAAGACGGCCCACGAGGCCCTGGAGAAGGCCCCAAGACGGCCCAGGAGGCTCCCCAGACAACCCGAGTGTGCCCCAAGAGCGCCCCAAGAGGGGACCCAGAGGGGGGCCGCGAACCGATATTTCGAGGTCTCTGGCCCTAGAGGCCCCCAGTAGGCCCCCAGAGGCCACCAAGGGCTCCCACGACGCCACGTGGGGCCCCTAACAGGCCCCCAGGAAGCCCCAAGAGGCCCCCAAGGGGCCCCCAGGGAGCGCCCAAGAGGCCCCCCAACACACCCCAACAAATCATGTCCCCAGAAAGCCTTCCGGGGACATGGTTCATCATGGGCCCGAGAGTCTCCGGAGTCTCCGAAGTACCATCGCGCTGCCAGAAAGTTGTCCGGGAAGTTGATTGGGAACATGACTGATCGCCTTCTCGCGGCCTTCCGCGGATCGTTTCGCACAAAGTTGCCTTAAGTGCCCTCTTGAATCGACGACGATGACGACGACGAAGATGACGAAACGACGAAGACGACGACGACGATGACGACGACGACGACGGCACCCCCCGACAGGCTCCCCAAGCGCCCCCAAAACCCATGTTCCCAGAAGGTCTTCTGGGAACCTGATTCATCAGGCTTCCTCCCCCCTGCGCAACCATCTACATGCGAGGACTTCTCACTACCCAGAATGGGTTCAGCGTTCTGGGCACTTGTTCACTTCCCGTTCAAACCATCTGTGGTCCACTACTTCAGTGGAGCAGTGAACTCGTCAAGGCCTGGGGCCTGCTAGAACCTGAGCGCGCGCGAAGCGCGCGCGATGGTTCCAATCTATATATATATACACATATATATACATGTGTATATATAATATGTGTAAATGTATATGTGTATTTGTGTATATGTGTATGTGTATATATATATATATAGATCGCCGATTATTCCGCCCGCCTGAAAAGTCCCCCACCGACGTTGACACTCAGGCTTGGCTCCTCGCGCGTCACCCAGACACTCCAGCGTCTAGAAGCGGTCAGACACTTGTTTTCCACGTCCTGGGACTCTGGAGGCCCATTTCGCGGCCCAGGACCATCAGAAAACAACCTGTGACGAAATTGTAACCCGGGGATGGGGCCGAGCGTTTTTCCAATGGTTGCGCTCGCGCGTTCGAAGAGGCGCTCCTCGATGGGATGACCTTCGCAGGATGGGGGGCGGGTAGCAGCGCAGAGGTCGCAGTCCGCCAGGATGCTGACCCATGGAGGCATCCAGAGGCTTCTTGAGACCCAGGATATACAGTGAACTTCCAAAAACCTTTCTCCAATCGCCGAATGGAGTCCCCGTCAGTGGATCGCTGGACAAGTGCCAGTTAATGGAGCTCCTGTCAGGGCGGTGCTGTTTTTGCCCCCGATGTGCTGTTAACCGAGGCTGCAGGCTGTGCCCTGTCCTGTTCTGTGCCCATCGGCTTTGGCATCCCCAGCGTAACTTTCGTTACCCGGTCCCCCTCCCCCCGCGGGTAACGCTAACGATCGTGCTGGGCGGGGCGGCCTGGACCCCCCCTACATGCTAGGAGGCGGCCCCCCCGCAAGTATGTCGCTGTGCTCACAGGCTTTGCGGGGTGCTCAAAGGCGCGCTTTGGTGCTGACAAGCGTGTTGTGGCGCTCGCAGGCTCCCCACCTGTTGCGGTGCCGATCTTACGGGCATGGCGTGCTTCCGGAAGGAATGTTTCCGTGCTCACATTCGTGTTGTGGCGTTTGCAGGCTATTGCGGTGCGCACGGGTCAGGCGGACTCACTATTGAGGCGAGCCCGGCAAAGAGGCGAGGAGGAGGAGGAGGAGGAGGACCAAGAGCAGGATGAGGGAGAGAGGGAAGAGGAATCGACCGTTCCCGGTCGGTGCCTTACAGTTTTTGCAGCGGCGATGGGGCGATGAGGAAGATGAGCGGGAGGGGGAGGTGCAGGAGGAGGGGGAGGTGGAGGATTAGGAAGGGGATGAGGAGGAGGAGGAGGAGGAGGAGGAGATGGATGATGAGTCTTGAGGGCCTCCGCGGTCTGTAGCGAGCCCCGCAAAGAGGCCTCTCAAGCTACTGAAGTGCTCGCTGGCACGTTTGGCGTTCTGGTGTACACAGGCGTTGTGGTGCACGGAGACAATGTGGCGTGCACAGGCGCTGCGGTACACATGGTTGCTGTGGTGTATTCAGGCGCTGTGGTGTACACAAGCGCTCTGGTGCACGCTGGCAATGTGGATTGCACGGGCGCTGTTGCGCACACGGCTGCCGCCGTTTACACAGGCATTGCGGCGTACATGGGCGACGTGGAGCTACGGTGCACGCGGCCATTGTGGTGCACGGAGGCATTGTGATGTACACAGGCGGCGTTGCGTTGCACGCAGGCATTGGGCATTTGTCGTGTACACAGGGACTGTGGTGCCCACGGGCGATTACTGCGCTGGTGGCGCGGACGCACCCTGGCGGGTGCACGTCGCGGCCGCCGTTACCGTTACCGTTACCCTCCCGCCCGAACCTTCCCCCCCGGGGTAACGACTGTTGCCTGGATAGGAGCAACAAGCGCTCACCTTCGAAGCGCCCTCGGGCCAGCTCGCCCGAGTCGGCTTCCCCCCTGCACGGGTTCCTCCCTCCTTGCCCCCCTTGCCCGCAAGCCCCCAGAGGTCTGGATTTTTACTCCTGGGACCAGCTCGCCATCCCGAGTCTTGACCCTCGGTTTGGAGGTGTGCCCACGTGGCTTCTCAGGCCCTTCACCTCGGGGTGCCCTTCGTCCAGGTCACCCCCAGGGGCGCGAAGAAAATGGCGCCTCTCGCATCGCGGCAGGGGTTGGACTGCTGTCCCCCAGCCACGCGCAGAGCGGGGTAATGGGAGGGGGAACGGCTTCTTAGAAGGAGGCTGCTTCTTAGAAGGCGCGGGCCTTATCTATAGGCGTAAGGCCAGCGCCTTCTAAGAAGCCGCCTCGTTCTGGGAAGCCTTCCCCCCTCCCCCCCTTCATCTACCAGAAGCTTTCGCCGAGGATGCGCACGGAGCGCTGCGGCGCTGCACGCCCACATCCCGTCGTTGGGACAGCCTTCGCTGCAGTGGCGTCCGTTCGCTCGCCCCTGCCTTCCCCGCTGTGGCGCGCCGCCATGCGTTGGGCGCCCCCCCACGAGGCCTCCTCCCTCCTCTCTCCTCCCTCCTCCCTCCTCCCTCCTCCCTCCTCCTCCTCTCCCTCCTCCCTCCTCCCTCCTCCCTCCTCCCTCCTCCCTCCTCTCGGGCCCTCGGCGCGGCGGGTCGCGCTCCCCGACCCGCGGGCTCCCCGCGGGCTCCCCGGCGTTCCGCGCCCTTCTGCCGTGGACGGCCCCTCCCTTCCATCGGGGCCCTCGGCGTGCGGTGGTGACCGCGCCGTGTACGGTAGGTTCGTGTCGTGTCGACTCGTCGCGACCCCGCCGCCGACGTTCAACTTTGAACGCCGACGGCTGCCCAGAATCGGTCGATGTTGAACGATCGGACGTTGCGGAGACGGCCGATCGTTCAAGGTTGAACGATCCAGCGCGGTGTCGGGAACCAACGCCGGGGTCGACACGACACGAACCTGCAGTAGCGAGTCTACGGTGACGTCGGGCGTGTCCCTCTGCAGCAGGAATGTTCAGTACATAGTCAAAAGGTGGTCCGGTATGATGTTTCGACCATGCTCGGCTATGTTTCAAGATCTTTTGAATATTTGTTGGATTTGTTTCAAGATTCGCCTGTGTGGGGACATGCCCGACCTAAGTCTACGGGCGGGTTCGGGGTCACCGCACGCTCTTGGGGCGGATGTCGAGGTCACCGGCGAGTCTGTCGCCGCTCGGTGTTGGGACCCCCGAGTCCAGGCCTCCCAGATGAGCTTCAAGCAGGTGGGGTCGAAGGATGGGTCCGCCTCGCCGAAGCGTCGGCGATGCGGCTCGGTGCAGAGCCCGATCTTCTCCATGCCGATGGCGCCGATCGCTGACGTCGCCGATGCATCACCGATGTATCGCCGGTGCATCGCCGATGCATGGGCGAAGTGGTGCAACCCTCCGACCCCATCCACCCCAAAGGAGGTCTGGACGGTTTTGTTCGGGGACCTCCCTCCAGACATGCTCGCGTCTTACAAAAAGCAGGAGGGGAGATGTTCAGCGTCCGGATTGTTCAGTGCGTGGTCCCCAGAAGTACCTGGCCACGCGCAGAAGGGGGTAGGGGGAGGGGGGAAGGCTTCTCAGAAGCACCCCTGCTTCTTAGAAGGCGCGGGCCTTCTTTGTAGATGTGAGGCCGGCGCTTTCTGAGAAGCAGCCTCCTTCTAAGAAGCCTTCCCCCCCTCCCCCTACCCCCCTGTGCGCGCCGCCAAAGTACGGTAGGTTCGCGTCGTGTCGACCGGCGGCGACCCCGCCGCCGACGTTCAACTCTGAACGCCGACGGCGGCCCAGAATCGGTCGATGTTGAACGATCGGACGTTGCGGAGACGGCCGATCGTTCAAGGTTGAACGATCCAGCGCGGTGTCGGGAACCAACGCCGGGGTCGACACGACACTCAGAGCCCCGAATCATCAGGGGTAACTCGGGTCAGGGATAACTCGGGTTCGTTTTTCGGGAATCCGAACCCGAGTTACCCCGGACCCGAGTTACCCCGGATAACTCGGGCGTCCAGAGCCCCGAATCATCAGGGGTAACTCGGGTCAGGGATAACTCGGGTTCCCTTTTCGGGAACCCAAACCCGAGTTACCCCGGACCCGAGTTACCCCGGATAACTCGGGCGCCCAAGACACGAACCTGCAGTACCCGACGCTTTCCCGAGGGCCTGCTTTTCAAAGCCCGCTTCGTGGCTGCACGGCCCTGCGGCCCCGGAGGAGGGGCCCCTGGAGCCCCACAGGAGCTCCAGGGGCTCTCCGCCGTGGGAGGAGGAGGAGGAGGAGGAGGAGGAGGAGGAGGAGGAGGAGGAGGAGGAAGAGGATGAGGAGAGGAGGAGGAGTGATCTCTCCTTTCACGGCGCGAGGGCCGTCTGGGGCGCTGCCTCTCCCTGCGAAGCCAGGGATCCAACGTATCTGAAAAAGTCAAGGCGACGGTTTTTCGCAGTTTTCAGCCTCTAGGGGCTCCCGCCGGGCCCCAGGGCCGTCAAGAAACGGCTCGGGATGAACACCCGGTCATGGGGAATAGGTCGAGATTTCTGGGGACCTCGTGTTGAACAAAAATCACGACATCGGATCTCTGCGAAGCCCCCTCCCCCGCAGGTGGACGCGCCGCGCCGACTCCGCGGCGCCCCCCAGGGGTGACGACTCGGCGGAGCCGGGTCTGCCCGAGGGCGGCTCTGACGAGAGGGCGCGCGCATGATGCTCTGAGCGGGCTTCGGCCTGAGAAAGCCGCGCGATGCTCTTCCGAGACCCCCTTGCGTGGGGAAACAACGATCGCGGCGGGAGGTTGTTGAGGAGTTTTTGTTCGGCCTTCGGGGTTCTCGGCCAGTGCCCAGGGCCTGCGAGAAATGGCTAGGGATGGCCACCCAGTCTTGGGGGAGGGTTCCAGACCTCTGAGGGTCCACAGAGTCCACAGTGTGAAAAGATCACGGCGTGGTGGGTTCCGGGTCTCGACCTCGGGTGTGAGTCGGTGGGGATTCGGGGTCGCCGCACGGTTTTGGGACTCGGGTCGTTCTCCGAGGGTGTCTCGGGCGACAGCGGCCTCCCGGGTCCCAAGACCGTGCGGTGACGGACCGTGCAGTGAGGTCTTGGGGGATTTCGAGGTCACCGCACGGTCTGTCACTGACGTGTCACCGCACCGTTTCAGGACTCCAGAGATGACCAGGGGAAGGGCGCGTGTCATCACCGGGGCCACGATGTCTCCCAGGTTTCATAACCCCATCTTCTTCAGGCTCGTCGCATGGCCCCTCCTCGTCCGAACACACGCCCCCGGCCACGGCCACGATTTGCCAATCCTGCTCTTGGACCGCCCCCCCCCGGCTGGACGCCCCGTGGCGCCAAACCCACACGGAGGATGAGGTCGGCAGCCTCTGCAGGTCCCGAGGACGGAGGTCGGCCAAGGCTGCGAGGTTCACGCATGGGCAGAGAAGTGGAGGGTTGATGGAGGGGACGAGGGGGAGGAGAGGGGTGGGACAGGGTTCAGAGGAGTAAAAGGTACCCATACCTCTACCCTCGCCTCGTTTTCCCCCTTTGGGGCCTCCTGGGCCTCCCTCGTCGCCACCGCTCGATTCGCCTCGAACTCCTGGTCAGAACGCACCCCAGGAGAGGTCTGGGGAGTAGCGGTATCGGTACCTTTTGGTCTCCCCAAGGGTGCGCGGAGGAACGTGGGGTCCGTTCGTTTCCAAGAAAATCCCGCCTAACCAAACAACCAGAGACATCAACCGAACATCAAGATCATACGCCAATGGCACGTATGTATATTCCACATCAATACCGCACGAGCGACATGCACCAGCACTTCCATGATATCGGGATCAGATGTGCTGAACGGTTGCTGCCTCAGATCTCAAGATGTGGAAACGCTACGCGCCGCGGTCTGGCTGTATCACACGCTGGGCGCTGTCGGACTGAAGGCAATCGTTGTCAAACAATTGCCTCGACTGCTGGGGCTGATGGAGCATCTGCTCTGTGATACGGCCGGACCGAGGTAGAAGTTCGGTCGGGCCGAGGTAGAAGGTCGGTCGGGCCGGGGAGGGTAACCTAATGTTCTTCGTGCTTGTTGGATGCTCTTGTGCATCCTGGGGGAGGGTACCCTCTAATGTTCTGTGTGCTTTGGCCAGCAGAGGACCCCGTGTTCTTGGGGGATGATCTTCTGTCCTAGGTCCTCGAATCAATCACGTATGTACAAGTGGGGCGTTCCTTCAGGGATAGAGAGAGTTGTCATCTCTTCTTCGGCGGAAGGCGGCGGAAGGGCGGAGGAGGGTCGGCGGAAGTAAAACGAGGCCGCCTCTGCCGGCGGAAGCCGGCAGAAGCTCGGCTGAAGGCGGCGGAAGCACGGGATATGGACATGACATAGACATACATATCATGCGCGTCCCCGTTTTGGATCCACCCCATGATATGGGCATAATATCATGCGCCGATGTCGGCAGGTTTCAGCTAGACCCCACACGAAGCGTCCGTGGGAGCGAGCTGGGACGCAGTGCTGTGAAGGATGGAAGCACAGGATGGGCCCCCAAACGGTGAAAACGTTTTTGGCTTCAGGGTTCCCGCAATCCGCCCAAACGTCGGGCACCACGAGTCTGCACATCCACAGCGCACGCTCATGGCGCGGGCGGCCCGCGCGCCCCGCGAGGCCCGCTCCCTGGGCCGCCAGCGCACGGGCCTGCTGCAGGCGGGTGCGCCTCGACGCCGCGGCCACTGCTTGCCGCCGGCTGTCGTCGGCGGGGTGCTTCGCCGTCTGGCCGTCCTCGTGGCCGTGTTGGTCGTAGTGCGTTGGTGGCGTTCGCCGTCCTCGTGGCCGTGGTCTTCGCTGTCGTCGGTGGTCGTTCTGGTCGTCGTCGTGCCTGCCGTCGTGGTCGTGTTCGTTGTCGGTTTTGTCGTTGTGGGGTTGGGTTGGGGGTCGTCGTCTTTGTCGTGATGGTCATGTTGGTTGGTGTCGTCGCTGCCGTGGTCGTCGTGGTGGCCGTCCGTCATCGTCGGCGTGGCCAGGGTCGTCCGTCGTCGTCTTCCTGCTCCAATGATTACCCCTCCCGTCTTCCACTCTCCTGTTATTCCCTTGTTCCTTCTTGCTCCCTCCTTCGTCCTTCCTCCCTCCTCCCTCGAAGTACCCTCCTAATTACCTCCTTTGCTGAGGCGCGTGTGACCGCCCCAGGACCCGTGGAGGGCCCCCCCAGAGGCTGAAGAAGCCAAGCGGCACCTTCCGTCGTGACTTGGCGCAGCGCGTGGAGGTCTGCCCCACTCCGTTTTTTGGTGGCTCGGGAAGTGGGGGAGTGGAGGAGGAGGAGAGGAGGAGGACCAGGAGATTCTTTGTTGTTTTCCTCCCCCCTGCTGGTTGGGGCCCACGTCCCCAAACTCCCAAAAAGCGGCGCCACGCGCAGTCCGAGCACGGCAGAGTCCCAAGAGGGCACACGGAATTGACGCCTAGCCGTCGCCGTGCGACCGCGCCAGACTGTGCAACTGGTTCTGCGCCGGGCCGCCCCTCGGCCAGCGCTCCCAGGCGGGCCGCGCGCCCCGCGCGCGCGAATGCCCTCTCTCAGCTGCTGCGCCCAGCCGCCGCGGCTGGCGCAGGGCCCCGCGAGCCCCACGCGTCCCACTCGGCCTCCGTCGGGGGGGCGGGCCGGCGAATGGGCGGGTGGCTCGCGCGGGCCTCGGGGGCGCGCCCTGCCTTCAGGCCGGCGAGCTGCCGTGGCTGCGTCGGCCGGCCAGGGCACTCTCCCCGCAGCTCTGCCGGGCGGCGCTCGATGCGGCCCCCCGCATCTGCGGCACCAGACCACCCCCGCAGTACGCCACAGGTGGTGGCCCTGGCTGGTTTCGCGTGCGGCGGCCAGCTGCACAGGGAGCCGCGCCGCCGCGTGACCGACGCGACGTTCGTCCAAGAGCGCCTGCGCTGCCGCAGATCGCATGCCACTCCCAACCTCCGCCTCGTCGGCGGGCTGGGGCGTGCGCCTCCAGTGCCTCTGGGGCCAGCTGCGGCTGCAGGGGTCGAGGGGCAGACGCGGGAGGGATCTCGGGGGGGGCTCGCCTCATCCCCGCGTGGACGGCCCAGCCCCAGGAGGCCCGAAGACCAGGAGCCGGACCCAGCGCCGCCCCGCGACGCAACGAGCGCCCGCCGGACCCCAGGAGACCCAGTAAGCCCGAGGACGAGACCTCGGGGGGAGGAGGAGGAGGACGAGGAGGCGGCACCGTCACTCTGCGCCCTTCTGGGCTCTGCGCCGTCCCTGTACCTCACGCCTCTCCTGCACCTCTCGGGTCTGCCGCCTATGATTCACAAGTCGTCGGCACCCAAGGGACGCTACAGCCATGACGCCCAAGTTCGCCCAGCGCAGAGAGGAGTTCAGGAGGAGTCAGGAGGGGAACAAAACACACAGACACAAGGAATCGTCGACTCCCAGAAAAAAATGGGAACTGGGGGGGAAGACGAAAACCTAGAACATGTAAGAATAGATGGGGAATCCTGGGACTGGTTTCTATTTGGTTGTGCTTCCCTGGGCCCCATTACCCATTGAAGAAGAGGCAGGGGCCCTGGTGGAGGAGGAGGCCCGTGGGCCCCGCAGCTGGCCTCCCCGACGCCGCAGCGTCGTCCTCCTGAACCGCGCGCCAGACAGGCCGCAGCGCTGGGAGCAGGAAGCAGGAGGAGGAGGAGGAGGAGGAGGAGGAGGAGGAGGAGGAGGAAGAGGCTGGGTTCTGCTGACCGAGCGAAGGAGGAGGAGGAGGAGGAGGAGGAGGAGGAGGAGGAGGAGGGGGAGGAGGAGGAGGAGGAGGAGAGGAGGAGGAGGAGGAGGAGGAGGAGGTCCGTAGCCATTTTGGCTCAAGTCCGTGGCCGTTTTGGCTCCGGACCTGGCTTAGCTGACAAGGGGGAGCAGCGGCCCCCACATTGCCCCTCGTGTGCTTGGCCAGGCGAGGTTTTTCTTTGCGTGAGCTCCTGTCGGAGCACAGTATCTTTCGTAGCCTCATGGGCCAGAAGCATGCCGGACACATGGTGCCGAAGACGGCGCAGAGCGAGTGTTGGAGATGCGCAGCTGCGTTTGCCATTGAAACGCATATTGGTGGACATGGTGCAAGCACTGCGGAGAAAGTCGCTCGTCTCCGACCTTCAGTTTCTGGCCCTTGGCGCTTCCTGGTGTTTGGCCTGATGGTGGCACGTACTCTCATTGGCGAGGAGCGCGGCTGCAGCAGTCTGGGGGGTGTGGGGGTCTGCCGCTGGCCTTGCACCCATGAGCCCAGTTGGTCGGCGGCTCGGCGACGGTCGGTCGGCAAGGACGCAGAGGTGGCGGCGTGGCCCAGGGCCTCGCCCCCGCGTCTCCAGGCGTGCAGCTGGTCGGGGGAGGTGGCCTCGTCAGGAACTCACAGCATCAGTATGTGGCTGCAGACCTTCCTGGGATCAAGGAGCTCGAATCCACCTTTGAGGCCCTCCGAGGCCATGCCCAGGCGCGGCGCTACGGCGGCGTCGCCTCCCAGCTCCAGGCGGCTGCGCGGCCGCCCCCCCCGCTCACCGCGGGCGCCGCCAAGCGCGCCTGTAAGCGCGCGCGCGCCCGGCTCGAGAAGGCGGCGCAGGTGGCGGAGCGGTTTGGGGAGCAGCTGGCGGAGGCCAAACGGCGAGCTGTGCAGTTGCATTGCGAGCTCAAGAAGTGCGAGTTTGAGTATCAAGATGTGGTGCGACGGCTTCGAGGCGAGGTGCTCTCGCAGGCCGAGCCAGTGGCGGCGAAGCCGAAGCTCGACCTGCAGGCGCTCCTCGAGGGCGAGGAGTTCGAGGTCAACGACGGCGGCGTGTTTGGGCTCGTGGGCGAGGGCGCCCAGCTCTCGTCAGAGGAGGAGCTCGAGCTCGGCAAGCGCAGGCAGGCGCTCATGGGCATCCCCAAGGAAGCAGCCCAGGCGGCGCTCGGTCAGGCGAAGGAGAAGTCCCCCGTCTTGCTGTAGGAGCATAGGCAGCTCACTCGCAGGATGGTCGGCGCCGTGCAACGCCGCACTCTGGGGCCAGGCGCGGCGCCTGGCGACCCTGGCGAGGCGGCCCCCGCCACCCCTGCTGCGGCTGCAGCCGCAGGGGGTTCGACAGGCTGGGCCCCCCACGCTCCCGCTGCCGACGGCGCTGCCGCGGCCGCGCGCACTCCCCTCGGGGGAGATGGCACGCGCGACGTGGACCGCAGCGGGGCCTTCTTGCCAAAGCCTGCAGTTTCTGCCGAGGTCATCCCTGTCCCAGATGCAGATGAGGAGGACGGGCTGTAGGCGGCCGGACTGCAGGCGCAGCAGAAGTCGCAGCTTTAGCTACGGGTTCCTTTTTGATCGTGATGTTCCAGAGTTCTTCCCATGGTCGTCTGCGACGTGGGCGTTTGCGTGGGCGAGGAGTACTGGGTGTGATTTGACTTGTTCCCAACCATCCTGTGGTGTCGGGTCCTCGTTTTGAAGAGACGGTCCCCGCGTTCCTTCTCCTCCTTCTCCTCCTCCTGCTCCTCGCCCTCCTCCCTCCAGGGTTCGCATGCCTCCCCACCACCCATTTCGGCACACCCCTCACACGTTTCGTGGCCCCATAGGGAGCTCCACCGAAGGCCCCAGCGGCTGCGTTCGCATGCCTCCCCACCACCCATTTCGGCACACCCCTCACACGTTTCGTGGCCCCATAGGGAGCTCCACCGAAGGCCCCAGTGGCTGCGTCCGCATGCTCCCCCCACCCATTTCGGCACACCCCTCACACGCTTCGTGGCCCCATAGGGAGCTCCACCGAAGGCCCCAGTGCTGCTGCGTTTCGGCACACCCCTGCTTCGTCCCCACTCCCAAGGCCCCAGTGGCTGCGTTCGCATGCCTCCCCACCACCCATTTCGGCACACCCCTCACACGTTTCGTGGCCCCATAGGGAGCTCCACCGAAGGCCCCAGTGGCTGCGTTCGCATGCCTCCCCACCACCCATTTCGGCACACCCCTCACACGTTTCGTGGCCCCATAGGGAGCTCCACCGAAGGCCCCAGTGGCAGGGTCCGCATGCCTCCCCACCACCCATTTCGGCACACCCCTCACACGTTTCGTGGCCCCATAGGGAGCTCCACCGAAGGCCCCAGTGGCTGGGTTCGCATGCCTCCCCACCACCCATTTCGGCACACCCCTCACACGTTTCGTGGCCCCATAGGGAGCTCCACCGAAGGCCCCAGTGGCTGCGTTCGCATGCCTCCCCACCACCCATTTCGGCACACCCCTCACACGTTTCGTGGCCCCATAGGGAGCTCCACCGAAGGCCCCAGTGGCTGCGTTCGCATGCCTCCCCACCACCCATTTCGGCACACCCCTCACACGTTTCGTGGCCCCATAGGGAGCTCCACCGAAGGCCCCAGTGGCTGCGTTCGCATGCACCGGCACAGGTGGCCCCATAGGGACCCCTCATGCCTCCCCACGTTTCGCGGCCCCATAGGGAGCTCCACCGAAGGCCCCAGTGGCTGCGTTCGCATGCCTCCCCACCACCCATTTCGGCACACCCCTCACACGTTTCGTGGCCCCATAGGGAGCTCCACCGAAGGCCCCAGTGGCTGCGTTCGCATGCCGCCCCCACACCAACTTCGGTGCACCCCTCTCACGTTTCGTGGCCCCATAGGGAGCTCCACCGAAGGCCCCAGTGGCAACGTTCGCATGCCGCCCCACACCCATTCCGGCACACCCTTCAAACGGGTCGTGGCCCCATAGGGAGAT